GGAGAAAATAAACTAGAATCAAAAGCTATGTTGGATTATTTTCAACCGTTATATAATTGGTTAAAGATGGAAAATTTAGCAAGAGGTTATCCTGTTGGATGGATATAATAAAACTTATATATAAATTTTCTTTTTATCAATCACTATATGTCTTTCTGTGATAATCATCTAATAAATATTTACTATATTTCGGAAATTATGGAAAATAAACTTTATCGATTATAAAAGTATCTAAAATAATTCACTAACAATAGTCTATATGTAAATCTGTATTAGATAAATTGATACATCACTGAGAAAGTAGTTTTATTTATAAATCAAGAGATAATAGTAGATAAGTGAAGTATAATAACTATATGATCATAGGAACCCTCACAATAACTGCAAGACTGATAATAAGACTTTTGTTTCGTTTTATTTCTCTAGTACTTATTTTTATTCAGAAGGCTATTCTCAAACAATATGATAAAATCCAAGTATAAATATAATATATTATATTATATACATAAAACAAAAAAATATTCTTGTGTCTATCTGCTGATGATCTCCTGTATAAATAGAAATTGATATATCATATTTCTCTGATTTATTGAATAATAAAAACGTTCATATGTATTTCTCTTTTTAGCTGTTTTTTTTTGTTATGTATTCATGGTTATCAAATAGAGTATTTAGTACAGAATATGATTTTTCATATTGTCTCTGTTGAGGTCAGAATGACAGAGGAGTGAGTGAGTGCAAACTCGACAATGGCAATAGTTAGCGACTTGTGGTCTTTAGCCATTGGAAGCGAAGGACTTCGGATGTCTTTTTGCTTGATATTATAGAAGATAAACTATTTTGAAATTTCATCAACTTCATAAAATATTTTAAAAAATACATGAAAATAGTGTTTTTTTTTTTTTGATGTAATATTGAGGTTGTGAGATATGCTTTAAGTAGAGAAACTTTAGATTTATCTTCTCGTATCTCAATGTGGAGCAAACAATTTGTGTATCTATTGGATCGAATTATGTAGAACTCTGTTGATTTATAGAAAACTTAGTCAGTGTGTAATCAGGATGTGGGTCTCCTAAACAATGATCCAATTTCGATCAGAAAATTTTATTGAAAGTATCAAAGCAGGATTCGATCGCGTCTGAAAATTGTGGACTTGCTGTACTCGAATCTTGACATACTCTTTCACACATAGAAAATAAAGTGTGTAGAATGAAGATCCGAAGAGAACTTTTTTCGCTTATCTATAAACTAATTTTCGTTCAGGTCCACAACTTATGGGACACTCTATATATCATTTCTAGAAGTCATTCAATCTTCAAAAAAATAATATATGATAAGCACATTTCTAGTTGTATACAGATAAAACAGCAGGATAACTGAGAAAAAAACTCAAATTCAAAATAAATATGACTTTCTAGTCATTCAAGACGAATAGTTCACTTATCGCCTATTGCTCATCTCCATATAGTGAAATGGCTTTGCCATAATTAACGTCTGCATACACTATTCCAATGGTTTACTCAACATCAACTCTACTTGATTAGTGCCAGACGGCAATGAATTGAAAACCACAAACAACTTATAATAATTGTTCGAATATTCGAATACATCTCACGTGTGCCCCCTTCCTGTCTAGAAATGTTTGACTTCACCGATATTCTCTTTTTCCTCTGATAGCCCCATTTTTCTTCAGCAATCTTTGTGGGTGGCATGTGATGATAACAAAGACAATACGAAAACATAATAAAACCTTTTTTGTAGAAAAAAAAAACAAGTTTGAACATTTATCGTACTATATAATTTTAGCATGATTTTGTGGCATAGCATGTTAATAGACGATGATACATGTGAATGATATTTTTATTATACATATGGACAGAAAGAAAAAAAAAGTGCAGAAGCAAAGGGAAGAAAAAAAAATGCAGAGGTCGATCGAATAAGGGTAGCAGAGAATCTCTTTCTCCTAACATGTTTAGATGTATACAAGGAATAAGACGAGAACGAGCATGAAAATATTCGAATGCAACCCTTAACATACAAAGCGTGATTGTATACATCCATATCAAAGATATGATGAAAAAATAAAGCATGGTACAACTTATTTGATTTGAAGCTTATCAATAACAAGCAATAGGCACCAAAAAAAAATACAACGGTTGATTTACTGTTAGTTGAAAGGCAAAAACAGCACATTGGTTGAAATACATCATGTACATTTTCATACTTACTTCGTTTTCCTTTTCCTCCGCTCTATTCAGGTGTATACGACGAAAAAAAAAGACATACAGTAAGTAAAGTGTCTTTTATAACGATATATACATCATAGCAACAATACAAAAAAACGTGAAAAATAATAATTTTATGAAAAATTATTGTTTTAGATTTTGATGAAAATATGACGAATTTTATTATTCTTCTTTTATTTATCTCTTCGTTTCAATTCTCAATATCAAATCGAAAACAAAATCATTATGATCAAAAACAATTCGAAGAAATTATTGAGATTTTAAAAATAAAATTTACAGACGAGCTGGAAGAACTAATATCAACTAATTATAATATAGAACATCACAATGATAATCCTAAGCAATCAGAAAATTATGAATCTGAAGTTGATTCTAATGATCATGTTGATATTAAATTATGGAATAAACTAAATGAAAAAGATATGAAAAAAATGCCAGTCATTGATGATTATTCAGATGAAGCTATGGCTATGCAATGGTTAACATGGTATATTCCCATTGAACAACGACATAGTCAAGTAAGAAAAAAAATATAGTTTCATTAATTTAGTGTTTTATTCTATTTAGATAACGACTCTTCTCAATTGGAATTATGAAACAAATATAACTGAAGAAAATCAAGCAGCAATGACTGCACAAAATCTTATTCGATCACCATTTACTCGTCTAACATTACCGATAGCAAAAAAATTTAATGAACATATGAAATATTCAAAAGATGATGA